GAGAGGAGAGGAGAGGAGAGGAGAGAGTGGGTTACTTGGTCAGCCCTTCATTTTAAGACACAGTTTTTGAGTTTCATTTTGGAGAAAATTCTGGTTTCTTTTTGATTTCCTGTCTTTCACTTCCTCTCAAACTAAAAATATTAATAACATTACCAGGAAAATTGACACACTTCTCCAAAACAAAAACTCAGAGCAGTGGTTGTGTGACAGGTTGTGTGTCAGGTTGTGTTTCATGTTTTAGGAAGTTAATCAACAACAACTCTGTCCATCACCTCCTGTCAGCGCTCCTCGGTTTGATTTAATTCACATCAGGAAGTGTGGGTCACATGGAGGGGAACATATGCCTCCCTCAGCTCACACTCAGCATGCAATATATCCTCACCTCAAGTAGAAGCAGGAGGCTAAATATAGCCAAGAAAATAGGCTGTGCCTTGTGAGGAAAAACACTCATCTTGATACTGTATGTTGTCCCACGTTCAGACAAACTGATGCCGTGATCAGGGATTTTCATACAGTAAATAAAAACACATACATGGTAATTATCGGCCGACTGATAATATAGTTAAGAATCCTTATCGGTTTTCCCTCCAGTTCACACTGACACAACTTTATATATTCAAAAGTCCTTGAGTTAGACTCAGTTGTAGCCTTTAGCTTGTTTGAGCTAATGCTAAAAAAAGATGTTGTGATTCGTGGATGCAAGATATCATCGTCCTTACTGAAATGGAGCAATTCTCCCAACATTCCTCTGCTGACCGAGTCATATCACACTCTACATCACATGTCAAACTCAAGGCTGGGGGGCCTAAAGCGGCCCGCCAAGCCCTTTTGTGGTCCCATGTAGCAGAGTTTCTTAACCTATGGAATTAAAAAGTTTTTTTATTACACAGCAATGAACAATATTTGTAGCTTAAATAACATAATAATCAATTGCAGAAACATGTATTAGCCCGTTAGTGGTCCCCAACCTTTTTTGTTCCAAGGTGCTGAATTTTTTTTTTACTGTCTCCCACTGCAGCCCGGTACCAAGTGACCTATGGACTGTTATTGGTCCGCGGACCAGAAGTTGAGGACCCCTGATCTATACAGTCTTCCATTTTTGCTGATGCGGCCCCCAGTGAAAATGAGGTTGACAGCCCTGGTCTACATGTTTAAAATATTGTGTTCTATTAAAAGACTCAAATAGACACAGATATTCTGATCAGTGGA